CGTATAATTAATTGATTTTAACATTTCTTAGTTTCTAGTGATTTATTTAGTATATTCGTAGTACTTGACCACAAAAAAAATCTCTCTCTTCTTCTACTTAACTTCTACAAGCTCCTCAAAAAAGTTCTGACGGGTCCGAACTCAAACATGAGTTATCTTATTTATAAAATTCTCGTGTCACAATGTTAGTTACCTACCATAGGTACTCCTCTAAAATGGTTTGACCGATTTCTATGTAGTTTTATATGCATGTTCAGTAAGTCTGAGAATCCGCTACTATCTATTTTTCATACCCCTAAGTGATAAGGGTTGTCCACTCCTAACATTTTTTTGGACAATTTTTTTTCTTGTTACAATGAGGCATTATGTATTTGAAAGAGGTTTTGTTATTTTTATATTCACTCATCGTTCACAGCGCTACATGCCTCTTTCACTCATTTACCACATCCTTACACACTTACAATAAGTTAGTTTTTTTTTTCTACACTAGAAAAACCCTAGAAATCTTATATATGGCAAAACAACATTTGCCGGGTCAGCTAGTACTTGTATAAAATATTTGTCGACATTGACTACGCTTGATGATGTACTTGAAAGAGGTTAACGTTGCCGAGAACTTGAGGCGAATCAGCGGCTCGGAACCGGCGCGGCCACAACGCGTTGCGCAATCTAAGAACACGCACAGCCCGCTTCAATGCACAACGACATATAAAACCATTACTATTTTATAATAAAAAAAAAAAAAAAACGCAATCATAATTTACGATATTAATCAGTTAAGCACAGAAGTTTACAATCCGTGAGCCAGTGAAGCGGCCCTAATATTAAGTCTGTGTATTTATCATCTAACTGTATACATTAACAATCAATCAATCCCAGAGTACAACAATACCAAAAAAAATAATGTAATTGTCGCTCATTGCTGATGCAACTACCCGCCTGAGACCTTTTCTTATGATCTGTCACTTATATCGCTCAGTTGCAAAGTGAAGTGCGTCGCTTAGCCTCGTGTCCAGGGTTTCAGCCACTTGGTCACTTCATCTTTTCGGACTCCGATCCCTTGACCATTTTCCAATAACTTTACCCGTCGCTGTGAGTCTCTCCAGGTTGTCAGACTGTTTTCTTGCTATATTACCAAAATATTGGAGCACTCTATGTAGGCATACAGTGGCTAGCCTCTGGTCAACTTTTCTGGAAGCGTTGGTACGGAAGGCTTGTCCAGTGAGGCAGGCAAAAATTATTGCCCGGGCAGAGGGGGGCACCCTAAAGCCAAAGTCATGAAACACAGGAAGCACGAGGACCTAGATGTAGGTTTACGAAAAGCAAGGAAATAAGTTTAATGACATGTCCTTCTTCAAACGAGGCTTGTGGAGAGTATTAAACGGTAGGCAGCGGCTTGGCTCTGCCCCTGGCATTGCTGACGTCCATGAGCGACGGTAACCAATCACCATCAGGTTGGCCGTATGCTCGTCTGCCTATACGGCAATAAAAAAAAATAAAAAAAAAGCTCAGCTTAAAAAAAAACCTATCCGAATCAAGTATTCAAACGTTACACGTACGTGCCGAAATAATAAATTCACCGATTTTTTTTTACTGCTTAGATGGGTGGACGAGCTCACAGCCCACCTGGTGTTAAGTGGTTACTGGAGCCCATAGACATCTACAACGTAAATGCGCCACCCACATTGAGATATAAGTTTTAAGATCTCAGTATAGTTACAACGGCTGGTCTACCCTTCAGACCGAAACGCATTACTGCTTCACGGCAGAAATAGGCTGGGCGGTGGTACCTACCCGCGCGGACTCACAAGAATGAATATGAAAATAAAGAAGAATATGTTTAAGATTACTCAAAGTAAGAAAACTATAAATTATTCAAACTTTATTTTCATAGCTGTTACGGGCATTTCCATATTTATCGCTATAAAGACATAAAGGTCTAAATTCTTGATCATTTTTCAAATTTTTGGTCATTTGTATTCAAATTTATTTAATAGATAAGGTAAGGAAACTACATTGGCGGATAGATGATAGCGAAGTCGTTGGACTAGTTTGAGAAGGACGCATAGCCCTATTCTAGATACTCGCCGGGTAGACATGTAAGGAGTCTTCCTTAATTCAATCGATTAATATAATTCCAAAGCGGATAATCGATAAAAAAAAATGAATAATAATTTAATAAGTAATATTTACCTCCCATTTCATAGATACTCATTGTATTCTTTCAAACTGAAAATTGTAAAGAGATTGTTTCACCATAATGTAAAAAAGTATTTTTTAAACCCCTTAGATCTTTCGGTAGACAAAACTCTAAGTTCAAGATACTGCTAGATTTCAAGGTTTTGGCTATGACAGATGTGTAAAATTCGACTTGTTCTAATTCAATCAGAGGTATTACAAAATTAGAGAAAATACTAGAAGAAATAAAACTTTAAAATCAAACAAAAAAGTTTTTCATCAAATTCTTAAAATTCGTCAAATTCGCTTGATCATAGATATACTGTGCTTGAATCTGCGCCCAGTAATGACGAATACTCATCATTCTACTACATTTTAAAAACATGCGCTCACCATGCGTGGGAGAAAACATACATTACAGATTACGACGGAACTTATATTGCGCCGTACATGCAGGTGCTAATGAGCTTAAACAAAATATACGTGCATTCAAACTTGTCTTTAATTTCACACGGCCATCCACAAAGAAGAGCCAACAAAATGATAACAAGCAAGTGTATCTGATTTTCAATTTAATGTCACTTAAAATAAAAACGTGTATTATATTATAGAAGCTGTTAACTTTTGAAACGACTTTTTTTACACTTTTCAGTGATTTTAACTTAATTTTAAATTCGCAAAGTTTTTGTGAATCAGTAACAGCTTCAAAACTAGTCATTTATTTAAGCAATTACTTTTTTTGTAACAACGCTTCAAAAAACTCAAACAGTTAAAGCAGAAATCAGAATCTTTCGTTTTTTATTAGTTCAAAAAATAACCAGGACCAATACAGTAGCGCGTTATGTTTTTTAATTTATTTGTGTTGGCAGAACAACATCTTGTCACACTTTATGGTCCCCATTAGGGTTATTTTTTAGTCCAAATAATGATTTACGTTTCCATTTTAATACGCAAGTTATTCGATCGCGGCGTTTTACATTTCTTACTCACACATTTTAAATAGTTTCACACACATTTTAAGTAGTACATAGTAGTTAAATAGTGCTAATTTAGTCTTGCTGAGAGTACAACAAATAAATGCGTCAACTAAAACTAAAATATAAAATACATTTGTTTCGGACTATGAATGCCACCAAACCAAAATTTTACGGGATTTTGCTCTTGATCCGTAAGCGAACATTGATACTCATCACACAGCTTCGAGAACAAAGACTCAAAAAACCCGCTTCTCGGTATACCGGTACGAAGGACCTGACAAGTTAATCTCTTTTTCGACAGAATTTTGAATGGTCTTAAATTTTTTTTTGTGGAAACAAATTTCGCAGCTCGATTAATTACATAGAAAAATATTCTATGGAAGGTCGGTGCAACTTTTTTGAAATTCGGTTTCAGACACTTATCGCTAACAAACATAAAAGATTTATACAGATACCGGAAGAATATCAAGAAAAGATAATTATTTCTCCGAAAATGGTACATCTAAATAAAAGAAGGAAACCCTTTTAAATATACGGAAGTATTAAGGATACAAAGCGGCATGTTAAAAGACCATTTATCGTCCGAGGTAACAGATATGTAACAATAAAGAATCCGAATGATATTTAACAGAAAATGGCGTCAGACATGTGATTAGAATAAACAACAAAGATGCCGCTTCAACAGTATTTCACAAAACAAAAGATTCGGAAGAGAATCGTTTCGAAAAACTTATGAAAAGACAAAGTTGTAAAGTTTATTGAGGTCCTATTTATTTCTCTTTGTAAGACCAAATGAGAAGGAAAAATTTCTTTAGATTTCTTTTGCTTATTACATCCCAGTATTTTTCTGGACTCCTATTGTTTTCTAAATCTGTATTGAAAGCGCAAGGATGGTTTCGGTGGGGTATATTCCTGAAATACTAAATAAATCCAACAGCGTTTTGTGAACGTGTAAATTATAATTATGTATTAAACAATTCCCATATATTTTTTTCATGGCGTGTGAATATTTCCATCTTCACTGAGAATCGAGCTGCTTGGCGCGAAATATTTTGCAGCAATCATTCAAGTACGCGATGCAATGAAGAATGGGTTGAATATTCATCTTTCATCGAAGAAATGGTTACTTAAATAAAAAACTAGTAAATGAAAGATTATTGAGTACATTGACATAATTGAAATTGTAAATCAAAATAGATTTTTTTAGTTGAATCAGTACTTGAAGATTTTACCAGTTCTAACACTATCACTTACTGGTGGTAGGACCTCTTGTGAGTCCGCACGGGTAGGTACCACCACCACCCTGTCTATTTATGCCGTGAAGCAGTAATGCGTTTCGGTTTGAAGGGTGGGGCAGCCGTTGCTATTGCTAATGCTAACTGTACTGAGACTTTAGAACTCATATCTCAAGGTGGGTGGCGGCATTTACGTTGTAGATATGTATGGACTATGGTAACTACTTAACACCAGGTGGGCTGTGAGCTCGTCCTCCAACCTATGCAATAAAGAAAAACCATTTGAATCAAGTTGGGGTAACTTTGAACACTTTTCGCAGATTTTTAAGTACACTGAAAAATTAATGTATTGGTTGCACTACATACAATTTTGATTATAAAATACAATTATATTTTGAACAACAGCAGTTAAAGCAACACAAAATAGCACTTTTACTGGAATAGGCGGTGGTGTAGACCGAGAACTATAATATGGACGGTGTTGTGTCGAGGAGCCTAGCCGGTGCGCGGGCGCAAGAGACGGGCGGGCGGCTCGGGGCGGGGGCGGACCTGTTCTGGCAACGGTGTCGCGAGCACCGCACACTAGCTCTCAGTCCTAACGAAGCGGCCAACGGTACTGCATGTGCCGCTAGCCTACACGCACAAACAAACATCAACAACGCGAGGAAACATTACGTGCAGTGGTTATAAGATGCTTACATGTGAATTTTAAATAGACAAAGTGACAGACACGAACACTAGGATCGAGTGCAGTGTTTATTAGCGCCCGAAGATGCCGAAAATCTTCTGGATTAAGAAGCGGCTCCATGAGCAGCAACTGGAGCTGCAGGAAGGCCAGGAGTTGCTCGCCAGCAAGACTGACCCGCTCTGTCCCGATTCTCCGCTTGACGATGGCCCCTTACCGCTCCTTTCGAAAAAGGATAAAGAAAAGGAATGCACTGGTAAGTTTCAATAATTCGCTACACTTCTGCACTTCTAAATCAGAGTTCCCGGCCAACCAGTATTTAACACAAATAATAGATGCTGACCATTGATAATAAGTTAACGTTGTTGTTTTGCCGATCTAACAGTGGGTAGCACAATTCAATGTCAAGTTCTAAAGTGATTGCATTAGTAACTGTCCATTAAATTATTCTCAAGATGGCATTTAACCTTCACTGGGATTAATATCGCCATATCAATTTGTGTCTTGGATCTATTCCCTGCTCAAAGGATACTCGCAAAAAAACATGCACTTGAAAAGCCAGAATCCAGTTCTAAGGCCGCCTCAAACATTTAATCTACCTGCGACAAGCGTGTGACTTCTGTGACCCTAATATTTTGTCGTTCGTTTTTATTTCATTGATAACTTTGAGTATTTGTATTTTATTCGACCAACAACTTACTTGACATTCAATGAAAAATCACAGTTAAAATTTCTGAAAACACCGATGCTTATTTAATTTCAGTTCAATACTATCCGAAGTTTTAACAACAATTTTTAAGTTTTCATCCAACATAAATAATACAAATGACATCGTCATGCAGATTTTAACGGTCTCAGGTAGTTAATATGCGTGAATCACTCATATAACTGTCGTGTTTTTGCGATTTTCCACGAAATGTTTACTCATATAGATGTGCTAAACATTCGTCTTCACGTATCAATTTAAAATGGTCGCTTCGTCTTTTTTTTTTTCTTCTAAAATATGAATGTCAGTACTCCCTAAATCCTTTTGTAGCCGATTGATGGTATCGACAACGGTTGTGTTTTGAATAATAATATAATATGGCGAATTGCAAATTCATGGCATTCGATCTTAAGATATGTTAAAGTGACTGAGATTAAAATCGTTTGTATAAATAACATTAATCAAGTACATGTGAATTCAGTTCAGAATATTAAATAATGTAATCTTGTATACGATCAATCAACTAAACAGGAGCTTAGTCAAATCAGAGATACTATTTGGAATGGACTACTCGGAGAAAATCCTTTTGGTCCTTATTTATTTAAAGTGAGCCGAGAATGTCTTTATGGTGTCCCTCGGATAAAACGGCCCCGAGAGTCCTTCGTCCATAATCACCACACTGACCGTGGAATATGAGTGATGACGTTCTACTCATGATACGGTACTGGATTAGACCGGATGATGCAGGCACCGAGGTGTCAATGGTTGCGGCACAATAGCACGACTTCCGGTCGCTACTCGCTTTGTATTTAGGTTAGTCACCGCAATCTCGACTGTCGTTTCAATATAATTAACATCCATGACGCGTGCGTGTACCGTATTTGCATAATATTTGCTCCCGGACAATTACACTTTTAGATATATATAATTTAGATATATATTCAAACAAAAAACTTGAAATAATGTATAATATAATATACTACGCAGAAATATCACGCTTTCACGCATGTGATTTAAGAATTTCGAGATATATAATCCAGACAGAAAAGAAAAATCGAAAACAATAGAATGCTAATTAAATACATACACATATTTGTTCTACATTGAATATTCAACTTTTCAATTGCAATGTTAAGTTTCTGTTCTGTGATAATAAGATAAAAATTATGTAGTGCACGACTGAAACTTTTTATGAATTATTTTATTTACACAATTGTCAGGAAAGTGAATTGAATTATCCGACTAAAACATTACTATTTTTGTCACTTTCTTATTTAATTAGCTTTTGTTTTCCAAAATTTATCGGGAGTAATTAAATTATTTCGCCCCCACGTAACTTTTTTATTCAATTTATCAATCATCCAGAAAAGGCTATCCGGGAACAATTCAAATAGGTTCACAACTTACTTTATGCAACAATAACCTTAGCACACACATTCTAAAACTTATTTCCTATCGTAATTACTTTTTGTTGTAAGCAGAAGTAACGACATATTTCAAATGATGCTTCAAGACAAGCTTTGGTTAAAACCTAAAAAAGGAAATCTTTGCCCTCGTTCCATTTTTAGACGTTATACGATAAGACAATCCCAAATGAACCCTAACATGATGAAAGTGTACTGAATTATACTCTTAAATAGCAGAAAAGCACTATATTACAATAAAAATGTTCACAAAAGTTTTATAAGTACATCAAACTTTATTTCAATGAGATGCTTGCGTGTAACGTTGGTCCGAAAAATGATCCGAATCAAGCATTTAAAAAAAGCTAATAAATTGCATGTACTGAATTGCACTACATAAGCCAAACTATGTCACTTTCAACCTGCGAAAAGTAATGAAATAAAATCGAATAATATATAAACAAAGACGGAACCCGCATATTTCGCTTTTGACTTTTAAAGAGCACAAAAATAGATGTAAAAGTCTTATCAAGTAATTACAGGTGCGTTTTCACCTGTAGGGAATAGGGCTGGAGGTGTGTGAAGGTCATATATGCGTTGCGAAGTGTATAGGGGCATGAAGTGCAATGTGGGGAAGGATCCGTTTTGTTAGTAACCTAGACGAGTTATTTTCTGTATTAGCATATATTATATTAACAGAGGGCGTGGAAGTGTACACAAGCTAATTCTGGTACACCGCACATATTAAAAATATGTACATCAAAATTTATATCCAAGGCAGAGGGCTCATTGCACAATGACCCTCTTCCCAAAACATTAATGAAAAGATGTCTGCATAAGGAATAGCGGAAAAAGCAATGAATAACTACCAGAGGCCACGATTGGATTGGTGTTAGGAGACAGACTGAAGAACAACCTAGAAATATAACTCAACAACTGTCACAAGTAACAGGCTATATTTAATAGACTATAGACCGTTTCGCTGGTTCATAATTGAAGCTTTATATAGATCATTTACAAAACAAACAAACACACAGCTATTTATTACAAGGAACGTGGTGAACTTTATAAGTGTCATCTCAGGTTTATCAGATAATAATCTTTACACCCCTTATTTTTAATGTATTTTTCGAAATACTTTATTTATCACGAATTTTTTTAATATAATAATCATGATTAGAAAATACAGGATTGTGAAAAATATGTAAAAAAACTATATATCTTGCGTTGATCAATAAGTTCTTCCACGTGTTGTATTCTAAAAATGCTTGTATTATTATTATTGTTATTATTGAACCAATCTACAATTATGTAGAACGAACAGTTTATGTGTGCAATATTTATAATAATCAACTAATTTATGTAATTAATATTCACCAAAATCTAACCAATACTTAATTAATTAAATAATATTTTATGAATTCACAATAAAATTGTTTAAGATGTTTAAATTCCCGTCGCGTACAAAAGACTTCAACGGGTTGCGCTCTCGTCCCTTCGAATCATGTTCTTAAATTACCATGTAGAAGAAAAACTATTTGAATCTTTAAGATTTTTGTTTAACATACTATCCTTCATTTCACTGTTTACTTCCGAGTCATCTGTCGTCTCGTGATTTCGTAAGAATTATACAGTTACCTACACATAGTTGATGACCTTCGTTTGAATATTTTACGGTTATAAGAAGAAAAAAAAAACGAGAAGTTATGAAATTACATATTTAATAAAGATTTTTGTTGGTTTATGCAACAAACATACGTTGAACAAAAATCCATAGAATACTAATTTCGTTTATATAAACGGGAAGAGGTAATAGAGTAGTGTTAAAGTCAAAGGTTGGTGGTAGGACCTCTTGGGAGTCCGCACGGGTAGGTACCACCATCCCGCCCATTTCCGCCGTGAAGCAGTAATGCGTTTCGGTTTGAAGGGTGGGGCAGCCGTTGTAACTATACTTGAGACCTTAGAACTTATATCTCAAGATGGGTGGCGCATTTACGTTGTAGATGTCTATGGGCTCCAGTAACCACTTAGCACCAGGTGGGCTGTGAGCTCGTCCAAACATCTAAGCAATAAATAAAAAAAAAACATTAAAAATGTACCGTGAAACGCACCAAATTCTTTTTTCATGATCTGATTTGTCATACTAACTATTTTAGATTGTTGTTGTGACATTTCTAACACTACAAAATGCTAGTGAGAACTATTCTTATAACGAATATTAAATGTAATGATGACTTAACTTTCGATGATAATCAAAAACTCAAAGATGAACTAAAGTTTCCGACTAAGAAGAGTTTGTATCATGTTTTTTTTAATGCAAAACAAAAATTTGCTTACTTACTGTTTATAGACTGTAATACGAATTAGCACGAGATGTACCAAGATACAAATTCTATCTTATGCGGTTATATAAACTTTAATTCTGAAACATTCATAATTCTTGGTTTAAGGGATTCGGTGTCCACTTAAACCCATCGACCTACCTGAGTTGATCCATCTCTGCAATAAAATAAATAACAAAATCCTATAATGAATTTTCACGGACCGTCTGTGTCAATTAAATTATATACTCGAACGTATTACGGTCAAGGGCTCGACTTTAATGATTCATCTCGGAACAGAACAACGTATTCGTTATAGAATTATAATCGGCTCATTTAAAGAGCATCTATAATCGTAATCTTTAATCGTAAATAACTACTTCGAAATTTTTATTCATATTTCCATGTTACTTTCAAATCCACCCTAATCCTATGACAATAATAAAGTTACGTTATAATAGATAGGCATGTCTCCTGTTAAATTTGCAACAACTAATGTCAGACATTTTAGTTTTTCACTATCGTGTTAATCTTTTGCTACGAGATGATCGAACAAACACAAAACTGAATATCGCATAAAAATAAATTAATTAAATTCCCACTAACAAATTAAGTAAAAGTTAGTATTTTTCGGTATTTGAAGCTTTTTTTGCATATTAAATACGGACGGTTGAATTTGAATTAAAACTTTTCCAAGTGCATATAGTACATACTTTGTAAATGTTAGTATGTTGTTCACCAGCGTTTTGCATAATGAACAAAGACAATTTTATTCTGAAACCCATAAATTATTATTAACAGGTTATGCTAACGAAACTAAAACCTA